GTGTTTTTTAAGAGGATCCGCGACTAACGGCTCTCTGACGGTAAGCGCGTTACTGACGCCGGTGTTTGTGTGCTCTGACCGGTCGCTTCCTCACGGATCCCGCTGTTTCCGCAGGTGTCGGATGATGGTGCTGGACGGGCTCGGCTGCGGAAAGAGTCTCAGCGCGGCGGCCGCTCAGGGGGACGCGCGGGCGGTGCGGCGGATCCTGCAGGACCACCGAGTAGAACCGGACGCGCTCAATGAGTTCGGGAAAACCGCGTTGCAGGTGAAACACACACACGAGCTCTTAATTCCCGTTAACCGTTAGTTCTGCCGTTTCGCTTTCACCTCAATGCCTGCGCGATGATGCCGCGGCTACAGCAGAGAGAGTGTGTGTGTTTGTGTGTGTGTGTGTGTGTGTGTGACGCCACCGGTGATCTTGATGTGTGTTTTATGATGCTGTTAATATTCATATGTGAGCGTGTTTGTGTGTTTTACGGTGGTGTGTGTGCGCGCGCGCAGGTGATGCTACTGCTTACAGGAGGATGTTAACGTGTGTGTGTGTGTAGGTGCTGATGTTAGTGTATGTGAGGATGTTAATGTGTGAGGTGATGCTGATGCTTGTGTGTGGAGATGTTTTTGTGTGTGCGCGCAGGTGGTGTTATAAGAGTGTGTGCAGGATGATGATGATGTTGAGTGTGTGTGTATGTGCGCAGATGATGATGATGTTAATGTGTGTGTGTGTGCGTGTGTGTATGTGCGCAGATGATGATGATGTTAATGTGTGTTTGTGTGTGTGCGCAGATGATGATGATGTTGTGTGTGTGAGTATGTATGTGCGCAGATGATGATGTTAATGTGTTGTGTGTGTGCAGGTGATGATGTTAGTGTGTGTGTGTGTTGGTGTGTGTGTGCAGGTGATGATGATGGGCTCCAGTGCAGTGGCTGCGGTGCTGCTGGATTTCGGTGCAGACCCGAATGTTCAGGACCGCAGTGGTGTGACTCCGGCTCATGACGCCGCTCGCACCGGTTTCCTGGAGACGCTGCGGGTGCTGGTGGATGGCGGCGCCTCCGTTAACGTGCCGGACCACAGCGGGGCGCTGCCCCTGCACATCGCCGTCCGCGAGGGACACTGGGACGTGGTGGAGTATCTGGCGCCCCTGACGGAGCTGCGGTGGCTGGACGGGCGGAGGGTGGAGGAGCTGCTGGAGCACCTGCAGGCCACTGGGTCCGGATGATGTGTGTGTGTGTGTGTGTGTGTGTGTGTGTGTGTGTGTGTGTGTGTGTGATCGGACAGTTTGCTGAGCTCATATTAGCTCAGGTTTGTAGCGCTGGTTTTGCACAGTGCAGTTCACACACACACACACACACACACACATGGCTGTAAATGACTGTATATAATCCTCCTCTGTTTGCCTGTGGCGCTGACTCCGGCCTGATGAACTCTCGCTCTGTGTCTGTGTTTGGTTGGAGTGTTCGCAGATTAATGTTTGTAAATAACTTTATGAATTATTTGACTTATTTATTGCAGATTTGTATATTAACGTTTATGGTTGCGATGATTTTTGAAGTGTTATTTATTAAGGTGTTACACTGATTAATAAACTGAAGAATCAGTTTGTCTGTATCTCGTGAGGGTTCTGGTGCTTCTCCTGCAGACCGGCCTGCACATAAACACCCACCAACAACACACAGGTGAAGCGGAGGTAAAGGTGTGTTGGTGACGTCACACTCGTCTTATTTCAGGACAAACACCATCATCTGTGCTGCAGATCTACACATGCTAGAGCTCAGCATGACAGGAGAAACCCAACAGGCCATCTCATATATATACAATACCGGACACAAGTCTTGTGCTGGATCCTCCTGTTGAAGAGCAGCAGATAATCACTGGACTTCTAGTCGATCATTTGGTGTCAGAAGGTGGATTTCTCTGCTGGATCATCTGCTGATCTGCATCCCAATCATTACCAATACTGCAGAAGACCTACTGGAACCAGCATGGACCAAGATTCTCACAGAAATCAGTCAAGTTTGGGGAAGGAGACTTCATGGTTTGGGGGTCATTCAGTATGGAGAGATCTGCAACATCAACAGCCTGAGGTATCAAGACATGTGTGCTGCCCATTACATTACAAACCACAGGAGAGGGACAATTCTCCAGCAGGATAGCGCTCCTGCTCATACTTCAGCCTCCACATCAAAGCTCCTGAAAGCAGAGAGTGCTCCAGGATTGGCCAGCCCAGTCACCAGACATCAACATTATTGAGCTGATGAAGGAGGAGGTGTTGAAGATGAACACAAAGACTCTTGATGAACTCTGGGATCCTGCTGAAGGCTTTCTTCTTCATTCCAGATGACTTTATTAATCAGTGATGTGAGTCATGTCAGAGATGTATGGATGCAGTCCTCCAAGCTCATGATGGAGTCAGACACAATATTCATTCTGTCTCCACTGCAGCAGGACTTTATATTCTATACTGGACATTATTTCTGTTCAGTGATGACACTTTAGTCTGAGCAGAGTCAGAGCGCACTGTCCTCATCAAATCAGTCAACATTAAGACATGATCAGATTTATTGAGCTCAAATCAGCAAAATCTAGAGGCCTTCACCTTTCATAGAGACACTTCTGACACCAAATCACCAACTAGAAGAGCAGATATTATCTGTGTTCCTAAAACTCAGACAAGACTAATGTCAGGTAGTGTATGTATGTATTATTTTATATTAGTATTATTTTTTTATAACTCTTTTGTGAAGATTTGTTTTATACATATGCTGTGTGATGTCTAAGGAAGTATAAGGGTCACTATCTATTAAACTTTTTTAACAATTGTACAAAATTGTTCCTTTATATGTGCTATGGCATGACGAAAATAATATACAAACAGCATGAGAGGGGTTCGTCTGCATTGCTGATGCTGATCTGTCTGTAGTGTAGTGTATATGAAAAGTATGAAGGATGTCTCTCTATGATCTGTCAGACTTGTTGACATTTCTTGTAAATGTGGTGTCAGAGCAACAACAACAAAACCACATTTTATAGAAGTTCCAAAAACTTAAATATGAATAATTCTAATGGGAAAACACAGAGTGTGTGTGCGGGTGATGGACGTCATGGGGACTCTTGAATGAGGTCCTTCAGCTGATGGCATGTAGTGTTACACCAGAGGACACGGTCTTCACAAGATGTGTCAAGTTGATGTTTTTAGAAATAAACAAATGATTGCCATTTATTAAAATAGCCACTTGTAAAACTAGGCCTGAGGTATTTTATGATTTTCTTTTTTAATTGCTGGAGCTGCATTTCATTGAACAACACTTGAGACGAGCCTCACCAATAGACAACATGAGATCTGTCTCAAAAATTAATAATGTAAGGTTTATAGTGAGGTTCGCTGAAGACATATTTAACCATTCACTGCTTTTTAATTGATGACTCTACAAATGATATTAATTGTTGGCATGTGAGAATTCAGCATCTCGTCAACTCCAATATACAGAGGTTAATGAGGCAGAATAGCTGCTGTGGGGTAAATTATTATTATAAAAGCTATTAGATTGGGCAGTTTAAGATATTAAAACATCACAAAAATTGCTCAATTGTAAGATTTGTTGTGTTTATTCCCAAAATAAGTAAGCTAATAATAGTCTAATGAATGTAAATCTGGAATAACTGTAGCGCAGTCACTCCTGCAGTCCTGACACAGCCTGACCTCAGGTGAATATCCATATCCAATATTACTCAATTCATAACCACAGTCTGATCATTCACAGCTGATTGTCTAATTACAGACGAGCATCGTCTCTGCGGCATGAAGGAGCTGAAGCAGAGGCTCTGCAGACGGAGGAAGAGCAGAGAAGTGTTCCGCTTAATCTGCATTTCAAGAGTTCCTAAAGGAGAGTTTGATCAAGATGAAGGAAGAGTCTCAGAGCAGCCTCACCACACCTGCGAATGCACAGCTCTCCGGCTGATCTGTGGTCAGTGAACGTCACCTGTGTGTCAGAGCTGAAGGTCACCTGAACAGCATCATTACACTGTGTGTGTGTGTGTGTGAGAGAGACTGAACAGCACCATTACACTGTGTGTGTGTGTGTGTGTGTGTGTGTGTGTGTGTGTGTGTGTGTGTGTGTGTGTGTGTGTGTGAGAGAGACTGAACAGCACCATTACACTGTGTGTGTGTGTGTGTGTGTGTGTGTGTGTGTGTGTGTGTGTGTGTGTGTGTGTGTGTGTGTGTGTGTGTGTGTGTGTGAGAGAGAGAGGCTGAACAAGGCAAACATTGTGCTTCAGCCTGTTTTTCTGGGGCCTTTACAACTGTGAGAGGATGCAGACACAATGCTGGCCTTGTTTTCTCACTGCATTCAGGCCAGAACCTCAGAATGGCACTGAGAGCTTCAGCCGGTTATCATTTTGATCTGTGTGTGTGTGTGTGTGTGTGTAATGCATCGATTCCTGCGGAGAGATTCTGATGAAAACTCACGAGTGTTTTATGAGCAGGAAAGTCCAAAGTCTGCATGCCAGTAAATCATCCTCAGATCAGTGTTAAACAGCAGTGCCACACACACACACACACACTCCTCTGTCCACTCCTCTGTTCTGTGTGTGTGTGTGTGTGTGTGTTGGAGGCCTGATGACACACTAGATTTTACAGACAGTTTTATCTGGACTTTTGCTCATGCAGGGTCTGTGTGTGTTGAGATTGTCTGATGGGTTTACAGATATAGTTGACCAGATCATCATGAGACACACACCAGACTGACCAGACACACACACATCCAGAACACACAGATGTTTAGGGCGCTGAGCTGGACTCTGGCTGATCTTGAGTGTTAATGCTGATAGTCCAGTGTACAGAAGCTTCAACATTAGACTGCTCTGCTCATTTATAGACTCAATAATCTGTAAACTGATGTAAAATAATCAATAATCTGTGGCATAAATCAGAGCTACTCCATGCAGAGCTCAGCTGATGAGGAGAGCAGTGTTAGTAAAACTCTATGACTGACTCCAGGACTGACCTCCACATCCCAAACTTTTTCATATGAAGAGCCAAAAACCAGATATCACTGAGAGCCGTGTGCTGAAGGCACATCTACCAAACTGAATACATTAAAGTTTGCATGGGTAATTTCCTCATTTATTGACTAATATTTCAAAATAAACAGCAAACATTACATCAAATCAAATGAAGTAATGCAGTTTAGCTTTTATAAATGATAACTTCAGCAATAAAACATGAACATTTATAACTCAGTGATCAATGCTGAATACACTACAGCACAATCTGCCTCTGCTCAACACATTCTAGTGACCGTGTATACATTTAAACAAAATCTGATCCATTTACACCATTTCATTGAAACATTTCATCTCACTTAGCTTTCAACAAAGGGTTGCAGTACATTTAAGTGGACAATATCGAAATCATTCTCATCAGTCTTCTCAGATGGGATGGTGGGCCAAATCAAGTTACCATGGGCCGACCTTGAGCATCTCTGCTCCGCAGTTTAGTCCTGAAGAGCTGCACTAGGAACACTGACAGACGGCCTGCTTCAGTACTCTGGGGACGGGGGGGGGGGAGTGTGTGTGTCTGCTCATACAGATGACTGATCTGCCAGCAGAGGGCGCTTCAGCAGATGTTGATATTAAATATATATTTATAATTATATTGGGATTCTGAAATGTAAAGCTCATACTTTAATCAAGTCAAATTTATTCAGGAATATTTGATGAATCTCCAGCAGAAGCTTCTGAATGTGCTGCTCAACTCAAAGGAGCATTAGTCAAGGGTTTGTGTTGGTGTGTGTGTGTGTGTGTGTGTGTGTGTTCACCAGCTAATCTGTGTTTTCATGTCCTGTTGCTCGAGAGTCACATGACATTTACAGCTCAGGTGATTTCATGATCTCTAACGTGAGATGAAAAGGAATGTGTTCACACATTGTTCTGCCCAGGGATAAAGGTGAAGCGTGCAGACACACACACACACACACACCACACCCGCCATCAGGAAACACACACTCTGCTGATAATGATCCTTCACAGTGCTGGAGCTCCGACACACCCGGCACAGGTTTACTGTGTGTTTGATGAAGGACACGTGCAGAGTGTGTAGAGAAACAGACCGTCACACGCGTGTTCAGCGTCCATCTACAGCTCATTTATCTCATGAGAATGTTAAAATAATAATATTAATAATCACTATAAATCATGAAGAGTGTAACGTGCTGCATGACGACAGTACAGATGCGGAGGTGATGTGGAAACTGCAGCAGCTACAGGACTACTCTCATTAGACTGTATTATTAATCTGAGGTGTTCCTGCTGAAAGTGAGTCCCTTATGGAAGCAGTGGAGAATCTGTACCTGCAGTAGTGCTGTTGGATAATAGAGCTGTGTAGGCTTCTGGCTGGCGCACGCCTGCATTAATCTTATAGTTAGTCATTCATTTATTTACAGAGGTTTAGTGGAGTTAGATGAGCACAGACTCTAATCTGATGCTGAACAGTGGAGCAGCCCCGGCTAACTGCAGTCGCTCAAACTAGTTCTCCAGACCCACCCTAACAGTCATGCACTGTTTCTTCAGTCGCTCTGTGAAGATCCCGTCTGTCGAGTCTGTCAGGTCAAAGTTCACAGAGCTGTTCTGAGATCAGTCCTCTATGCACACCGCTGAGCTTCAGCCACTGCTCGTTCACTCAGGACACACTCAGTGTAAAACAGCGGTGTGTGTTCATCTGTTCTTCATGCTGTCCTTCAGCTCGGCGGGCAGCAGCTCCATCAGACTGTCCTCCACGATCACCCCGGTCAGCTGGAGCGCAGGACAGTCAGCGATCTCCACCGGCAGACCCTCCAGCCGGTTCCCCTTTAGCTCCAGCCGCACTAGCTGAGCCAGGTTGCCCACCCGTGGGGACAGTGCCGTAATGCTGTTATTGCCCAGCGCCAGCACGCGGAGCCGCCGACAGGAAAACAGCTCCTCTGGGAGCGACTCCAGAGCATTGAAGGCCACGGAGAGGAACTGCAGACCCTGCAGGACACCGATCTCAGAGGGCAGAGACACTAACTGGTTGTGTGACAGGTCCAGGTGCCGTAGCCGAGGGCAGTAGCAGAGCCGTGGGGGCAGCCGGCACAGGGAGTTCCAGCTGACATCCAGCGTCTCCAGCGCCCGCAGCCGGCTGATGTGCTCTGGGATGCAGGAGATACGATTGTGCCCGAGTCGGAGCGTGGCCAGGCGGCGGCAGTGCTGCAGACTCAGGATCTCCTCCACTGCCATCAGCCTGTTCTCCCTCAGGTCCAGCTCCTGCAGGTGCGACAGGCTGAAGACAGCACTCGGGATCCGCTCCAGACCGCAGCCTGTCAGCTCCAGAGCCGCCAGCCGCACAAGCTTCTTCAGGCTGCTGAACGCCTGCAGCCGAGTGCCCTCATTGTGGACACAAAGCCGCAGCAGCTGCTGGGACACATCCATCACACCAGGCGGGATCTTGGTCAGCTTGCAGCGAAGCGTCAGCACTCGCAGGTTCTTCAGCTCGCGTAAGGAGTCCAGGGTCAGGTCTCCGCTCAGGTGCAGCTCCTCCAGGTTCTGTAAGGTGTACATCCACAGTGGCAGCAGCTCCTGGCTCTCAGTGGCCACACGCAGCACTTTTAGCTGGTCCCGCAGGTGCCCGAGCGCCGCAGGCTGCAGTCTGCATGGGCTGTGGATCAGAGTGAGCTCCACAAGGGCCGGGAGCTGCGTTACACTGCTGGGGATGGTGATGTTGCTGATCAGCTCCAGCTTGAGTGACTCCACCTCGGGGATCTCGAAGACGGTTTCTGGTAATCCCGGGAGCATGAACAGGTGCAGCTCCAGCCGCTCATGGGCGTTGTGTGACAGCCGGCTGCGCAGTTTGCCGACCGTCCACTCGTGGTTCAGGTTCAGCTGCCGTAATCGGCTCTCGCTGACCTCCGACAAGAAGATGGCGAAGCGCTTGGAGAACAGCGCGTCGTACTGGTCGCTGAGGTGCAGCAGAAACGCAAAGTCATTTTTGACATCAGGAATGTCGTTGATTCCCGTCTCCAAGCGGACCGCCTCAAAGGAGTACTCCTTCAGCGGCCGGTGGAACAGCCAGTACAGCGAGTAGATGCAGAGCAGGCCGTACACCCCGACGAAGCTTATATAGCAGTACGCCAGTTTGGAGAAGAGATGCGCTTTGTTGTAGTTGCAGCAGAATGCGCTGAAGCCCGTCAGATCCGGAGGCACCGAGCACAGCACCACAATCTGGATGTTGGGAACCAAGAGGACACTGTAAACCGTGATCAGAACAAACTTGAAGACCTTCAGCACCGTCTGCAGAACATACATGAGGTACAGCAGGTCTGCCTCCTCCACGTGTGTGCGAAACTTCCGGACCTTCTCAAACAGAGCCTTGGCCTGCTCACCCTCCTTCTTATCCAGGAGCGACGGCTCTGTGGATTTCTGCTCGGAGTCGGACTTAATGGAGGCTCTTATCAGAGACAGCACGTCCTCCTCATCTCCGCCGTCCGGGGCTGAACTCTGAGTGTTTTTCCTCCACAGCACCATGCGCTCCTCCGACACCTCGCTGATGGCTCTGGTGGTCCAGGGCGAGTCGAAGCACTTCCGCAGGATCACCACGAACAGCTCGATCTTGGAGGACGTGCCGGGAAACTTGAACCAGAAGCTGCTGGCCACCATGAAGATCATGCTGTGGATGACCACCAGGTACGGGAAGTATTTTCCATACCAGTGCACGGCGCGCTCGTAGCAGAAGTGGTTGACGAACTCGTACTGGTGGATGTCCAGTCCGTTCTTGCGGCCGAACACCTCCACGATGTTGGGCCCGATGTATTTGGTGATGGAGAACTCCCACAGGCTCTGGTTGTCCCTGTGCTGCCGGACGTGGCTGCAGTCAGTGTGTCCTCCAGAGGGATCCGTCAGCCGGTTCGGGAGGCAGGAGATCTTATCCTGAGTCAGCTGAGGAGAGATGAAGACGAGGCCGCATCAGTGAGCAGAAAACCAGACACATATAACACACATATAATCAAGATGTAGCTGTGAACGTCTGTGTGGCGGCACATGGAGCTATCGATTATCATCTCCACAGGAGCCTGATGGTAAACTGCGCTTTATTTAATCAGTCTTTACTGCACACACTGCCTCTCTGCCTCTGCCGGGTGACGTCTGAATGCAACTTTAATAATAATGAAGTTGATTTAGTTCATGAAATATTCTCCTGCTGCAGTGGAGCCTGCTGTAAGCGTCTATCCAGATAATTGATCAGAAACTTGTCACTGAAGCATCTACAGGTTTAATATGTTTATTGACGTCATTTGCAATATTACGTCTGATGTGTGAAGATGGCAATCGTGTGCTCGAGGAACCTGACATAGCCTGTTGTGTCTCTGCTGGACGGCGGCTCTGGATCTGTGCATTTATGATGGACTGCTCACCTGATAAAGCAGGTCAGCTACTGTCAAACTGCACCATTACAGGAGCTGCACCACAGCTCACTGCCTAACCGCTCCCCGCACTGAATTACAGCTAAAGTGGATCTACAATACACTATACACTATTACAAACGAGTGAACATGCCTTAATGAGGAATGCTGTAAGTAAAATGTGTTTCTTTAAACAGTTTAACACCATGATGATGCCAAACACTGCTGTTTCATTAGTTTCAGATTTGTGTCAAGAGTCAAAGTACAAAACGGCAATAAATGGAGCTCTGCAGTGACAAAACCTAACCCTTAAATCAAACACGCAGCGACTTTCCTTCTCTTAAACAACTGCACAACTCTGCAATTATATTCAGTCTTACACAGTCTGCATTAATCACCAACTTATAGACTTTAATGGTCACTTAAAAATCATCATTGACAATTAAGAACAGAAATAAATCTTAAACAGTGAGGTGTGGTACAGGGGTCAGCATTTACAGTGGATCGACAGTTCTTTAATGTGGTATAAGAGCAGATCGGGTGATCAGTGTTAGACGGCTCTGATGACAGGTGTTGATCCACTTCAAATGTTGACTGCTGTATATTTTCCACCCCTCTACATCCTACATATTATAATTCATTCTAGAGTCATTTTCTTGCCCAGAACATCAACAAAGGTCTAATAACCTGCGAACAGTCGACTGTGATGCGTTTATGATGTTTGTTTTGGATGATGACGGTATTAAATCACTGCTGTGTGTGAGCTCTTCTGCACCTGTGATGGTGTGTGTGTGAGCTCTTCTGCACCTGTAAAGGTGTATGTGAGCTCTCCTGCACCTGTGATGGTGTGTGTGTGAGCTCTCCTGCACCTGTGATGGTGTGTGTGTGAGCTCTTCTGCACCTGTGATGGTGTGTGTGTGAGCTCTTCTGCACCTGTGATGGTGTGTGTGTGAGCTCTTCTGCACCTGTGATGGTGTGTGTGTGACCTCTTCTGCACCTGTGATGGTGTGTGTGTGAGCTCTTCTGCACCTGTGATGGTGTGTGTGTGAGCTCTCCTGCACCTGTGATGGTGTGTGTGATGGTGTGTTTGCTGGAGAGTTTGTTCACCTGGAGTGTGCAGCCGAACACCCCGATCATCAGCATGGCGATGCCCAGATACTCAGACAGGACGTCCCACCAGGGCTTCAGCACCCGGAACTGTGGGTTCTGCTCAGATGTGATGTTGCGGAACTCGTTGACAGGAATCATCTTCACTCCTGAACCTGCGGATGGAGGAAACCCAAACCCAGACACTCAGAGCTTCAATGTTCATTCAATAGACTGAGCTTCAGAAACTGGACTCCACAGTTCTGCACTGCACTCATCTAAAGCTTCTGGAAACCCTCCAACACCTCCTGCTCACCTGATGGAGGAGCTGGACCGTGTGGTGCTTAATAAACCGTCATTGATGATCAGTCCTGCATGAGCTGTGCTGTATTCTCTGCTGATCTTTGACTCGGTCTACACTGATAAAGCGCTGTAGAAGTTAACACTCGTACCGGAGCCCTACCTGTGCAGGTGAGCGGCGGCTGTGTTGAAGATCAGATCCGGCCTCCAGCATGTCCTCCTCGGCCTCTGCCCGCGGTCCCGCCGTCACCGGTCAGTAACTCAGCGCGTCGGAGAGGCTGAGCCCGTCATTATTAACTACACGCACAGCACTCATATCATATTCAGCTTCATGTCTCACTGACACAGTTCTGCTGTCTGACTGACGATCCGCTGTGAAATACAAGCGGAACCCGCGAACAGAAAACAAACCGGGAAACCCGGCGGAGCGGCGCGTTATAACCGGACAGAAGAGCTGACACACACTAGAGGAGCAAAGTTTCCCGACACACACACCCTCTCTTTCTTTCACTCACACACACACACTCTCTCTCAAACATTCTCTCACACACACCCTCGCGCACTCATATCAGGTTTCTGTGAATTGTGGGGACTCTTCATAGACTTCTGTTGTTTTTATTCTGACCCAGCAGCATTCTCTCCCTCACTCCACCCTACAGAAGACCTGCTCAAGCTCTTAAACCATGTAGATGAAAGTGTGTGTCCCTGGAGCACAACATCTTGTCCAACACACTCTTATGGGTGTGTATATTTGGCACTATGCAGCAATACACACTCTCCACCGCGCAGGTACCTGCTGCTGACCGTTCTGCAGGTCTGGAGTCTGCAGATACTCACATTGACACATTTAGCTGACATTAAAGCCCTTTAGTGGGATTAATACATGTATTTTCTCCTGAACTGTGTGTCAAAGCTGGAGGCAGGGAGTCTGCTGGATACACACTGTGTGCATACATTCTGTGTTTTGGCGCCACCACTCGGTCAAACCACACATACACACACACACACTCTCCAACAACCAACACACACCTTTAATATACAATGTTTGTTGCTGTAAAATATACAAAGCAGACTGTAAATCATCTGTGATGCTTAATTGTGGAGGATTAAATGAAATCTGCATCCCTCATCAAACAGAAGCAGAGTAAAAACGAGCCGCAGGCGGAGGAGCGGCACGGCGGCGTCTCAATAAATTACAGAGAATCAGACTTCATGCAGTACCCATGTACAAAACCCCTGGAAAAACAGCTTCAACTGGGCTTACAAATACAATATTGGATCATCAACTTTGATTGCAGCAGAACCAGCGCCGGGCTCCACGGCTAACACAGACTGAGAGAGAGAGACTGAGAGAGAGAGGGAGAGAGAGAGAGAGAGACTGAGAGAGAGAGAGAGAGAGAGAGAGAGAGAGAGAGATCTGTGCGGCTCGTATGAATCTGAGGAACTGAGCGGCGTCTCATCTCGTACCGTCCCAGAGCTAAAGAGGAATACAAAACACCTCAATATACTGACAGCGGCGCACGTGTGTGTGTGTGTGTGTGTGTGTGTGTGTGTGTGTTGATGTGCTTTAGGAGGACACTGAACTGTATAATGACAGTGTAATTACAGTAGGGGTACTGTAATGAGGTGTGTGTGTGGGGGGACACACTGCTTACAGTACAGAGGACGTCCTGCCTGTGGAAAGTCCTCAAAAACCACATATACAAGTGTGTGTGTGTGTGTGTGTTTGGCCAGCCGTCACTCCTGTAGCACACACTCAGACATACTGTCGTGCTGATGGTGGCACTGTTCTGGGATCAGGATAAAGTGGATCCACAGGAGTGTGTGTGGAGATGACAGACATTCTGCTCATCTGTGTGTGTGTGTGTTAACACACACACACGCGCCGCCGCTAGCACTGACAGGGGATCAGCTCTTTGTGACAGGGCTCCATGGTGACGGCGACTCCGACTCCGCTGCGGCCCGACTTCATGTGTGTGACCTCTGTCCATGAGTCCGTCTCTGGGTCAAAACACTCCACACTGTCCAGGAACGTGTTCCCATCATAGCCACCTGCGCGCACACACACACACACACACACACACACACACCATTATAGGCTTCTTACACAGCACTTTCAGTAAATATCTACAGCCGGAGTTTTCTCCTCATGAGGGCAGAGATAGAGAGAGTGTGTGTGTGTGTGTGTGTGTGTGTGTGTGTGTGTCGTACCCAGCACATAGATGCGTCCGTGGTGTGTGGTGACCCCCAGAGCGCTGCGCCGGTGCCGCATGGATGCGCTGAAGCTCCAGCTGTCCTTCTCCACATCGTAGCGCTCCACCGTGTTCAGCTGGTTGGTGCCGTCATATCCACCCATCACATAGATGTAGTTCCCCAGCGCACACACACCTGAACACACACACACACACACCAGGACTCTCGTTACACACATGGGCTCTGGGTGACCTTTAACCGTCAGGACTGAGCGGGTCAGGCAGAGCTGTGGGTCCACAAACTGTGTGTGTGTGTGTGTGTGTGTGTGTGTGTGTGTCACCTGCGCCGCTGCGGACTGTGTTCATGGCCGCTATGCTCCTCCACTCGTCCCGCTCGGGGTTGTAGCATTCCGCGGAGCTCAGCCGGTGCGTCCCATCGAAGCCGCCCACCGCATACAGCAGCCGGTTGATCACGGCCACGCCCACTCCGATCCGCCGCGTCAGCATTGGCGACACCAGCTGCCAGCTGTCCCGCTCCGGGTCATACCTCACACACACACACACACACACACAGAGAGTGAACACACACACACACACCCCTACAGACCTGCACTGGCCGATTACTGTCAGGAAGAATCTGACTAGCCCATACACACCTGTCCAACACACACACACACACACACACACACACACACACACACACACACTGAAAGGACTTTGATTTAATTTGATGATTGACAGGGCTCGTAACTAAGCAACAGAGCAGTCCATTAATGAGGAAGTGGAATGTGTACACACACACTGTTCAGTCACACTCCTCTGTCACACACTCATAAGTATGCAGTGTGTCTTCAGTAATAAAGTGCACACTTTTAAGACGATGCGATGCAGAACAGTCTGATATAGTGTGTGTGTGTGTGTGTGTGTGTGCTCCTCCTCACCTCTCCACGCTGTTGTGGTGTGTGCAGCCGTGTGATCCGCCCACGGCGTAGATCATGCCGTCGATGACGCCGACGCCGATGCGGTTGCGCGGGACGCTCATGTGTGCGCAGGGCCGCCAGCAGTTGTTCATGGGGTTGTAGCAGTCCAGCGTGTGTGAGTCCATGTTCCCGTCGGGCCCGTTGTTGCGTCCACCCACGGCGTACAGCAGGCCGCTGATGACGCAGGCCGCCAGCCCGCTGCGGGGCACCTGCAGGTCCGCCAGCCGCAGCCACGCGCCGCTGCAGGGGTTGAAGGCCTCCAGGAAGCTGAGCGACTGCCGGAAGTATCCGCCCACCGTGTAGATCAGCTGCGGCACCTTGGGCGTGCGCAGGGGGATGACCTTGGTGGGCTTGTGCAGCGTCAGGTCCCGGAAGATCTGTGACAGGTAGTCTTTGCTCTGCGCGTCCCACTCGAAGTGCTCCAGCTGCCGCTGCAGGAAGTGCGGCGTGAGCGAGTGGCAGCGGACGGCCTGCAGCAGCGCCTGCACATACGGACGCCGCTCCTCACGGTCGTACTGAACCCACGCCACACACGCGTGGAACACCTCCGACTCGCAGCGCACGTTCAGCTCGTCCCGGCTGATCAGGGTCACCAGCTGACAGTGAGACAGGGTGAAGAACTCCTCCTGCGTCGCCACCTGCAGGACACACACCGCGCGCGCATGTTAGAGTTGGGGTATTGGTGGTGAGGGCATGCTGTTGGGGGGTTTGGGTTAGGGGGATGTACGGTGGTGCAAAACAACAACACAGACTGAAACACTTACGAAGCTCGAGACAAAGGTAGACTCTGGAAAACATTTTCCCACGATAAGACGCAACTACAGAGGAGAAACCATCTCCCCAAGGAGAAACACAAGAACAAGACCCAAAACACTGTTAGCAGTGCCCAAACACACTTACAGGCACACGCAGAGGGAACGCTCCACACACCGGGAAATATCTATAGAGTCACGGTTTGACCTGCTGCGATTAAACATTGTTCTTGTTCTTGTGTTTCTCCTTGGGAAGATGGTTTCTCCTCTGTAGTTGCGTCTTATCGCGGGAAAATGTTTTCCAGAGTCTACATTTGTCTCGAGCTTCGCTTCGTATTTGACATGAAACGCACATTTTACTCATATATGTAGCGTGTATATGCCCATGAGCTGCCCAGGCGGAATCTGCACACGGTTTTGCTTTTTCTGCACAAAATTGTGTTCAAAATCTGCGGATTTATGTGTAATTATTTTAGGAGTATCATGACTAAAACCCTAATATATGAACTAAAACTAATCCCTTTAAACTTTAATTTCATGTTTACAATGCAAATCCATACAGATCCACTTTATTTGGTAAACAAAGCCAGTCTCTCGTATCATATCTCTCCTGAAGACATGACTGCACACTGCGCTGTACATAAATCAGATCAACATTTTCAGATCAGTCAATAATATTACAGAATAAGTACAGATGTACACACACTAACTCAAGTGAATAGACAGAATCAATGATGAGCTAAACATCTGCAGAATTCTGCGGGCCCGAATCCTCAGTGATCCCGCCGGGCTCAGATCATTTCTCTTTCTCACTACAGTCCATCTGCTCCAGAGTTTTAACTGAACCTCAGTCAGGCGATCTCGGACTGATTGATTTGGTGCAGATCCAAGCACAATTGCTGGATTCACATATGCCAAACGAGCCGCGCTGACTGGACTAACGGGACGGTTCCGAAACAGAAGTGTGGGTGTGAAAGCCCCTTATTGAGGCCTGAACTCTTGTGTTGGTGTGTGAGGGGTGTGAGAGCGGTTATCCTGTGTGCGTCGGCCGCTCTGACCTGGCTGAAGTTCATGTAGATGTACTCTCTGGCCTTCTGGTGGAGCTCCGTGCAGCCGATCTGCTCGGCGAAGCTGGCGATGCCGATGGCGTTACTGGGGTCCAGCTGCTCCACCAGGAAATCACAGCAGGCCTGAACCACGCTGTCGATCTGGTACATCACGGCGCCGTTCATCACGTGGATCACACACTTCTCACCCACTGAGATGCTCGCCGTGTACGCAAACTCAATGAGCCGGCCCATGACCTGGAGACAAGAACACACACGCACACACACACACACACACACACACCGTTTCTGAAGTGGGCACACTGAAAGGCACAGGTCACCTATAATGAACATGTCCTCCTCCTTTCCTCACTCGAGCGCTTCTACAGCTTCATCAGTCTCTGATACTCTGAGGAATGCTGGGAAAGCAGCCGCTGACGTCCACAGCAGGAACAGAAACACTGCTGCAGTCATCAGCTGCTTCCTCCAGGACATCTACCGCTGTGTTCAACAGAAACTCAAACAGGTTTGGAGGAGGAAATGAGGAGAGAGAACAGCTGCTGTCACTGATCACCTGACCACTGAGCTGTGTGTGTGTGTGTGTGTGTGTGAGTGTGTGTGCTGGTACCTTGGGGTGTATCCCCTCGATGGGCACCACCTCCATGCCGCACTCCTTTAGGCCGTTGGTGAACATGGCGCGGAACACAGGCGAGGACGAGGCCAGCACCACCTTATGCGCCACGAAGTCGACGTGTGTGTCGAGCGGGCAGTAGCGCACGCGGAGTGTGACGTCACACAGCTGTCTCTCGCGCCGCAGCTCGTTCATGATGGCGAAGGCGGCGGCCGTGTGGCTCTCCAGCGTGTAGCTGAAGACGCGGTGCCCATTGCTGGCCGACGGCGTCACCTCCGCCTTACACTCCGTCATGCCCGCCGCCGCCAACATCAGCGCGGGCACATCCTCACTCGCCAGCGCAGCGGTCACGAGAACACACACACACCTGTGTTAGAGACACGCACACATCATACACACACCGCTCATCACCAGCAGGAACACACGCAGAGGAACGCTCACATATCTGTGTTCTCCTGACCAGTGTGAACACACACACACACACACACACGCACACACACGCGCCTGTCAGTCAGTCTGTAGAGGAGGGCAGAGCTGCTGATCTGTGTCTGCACGCGAATCCTGAGGGGGAAACACACACACACACACAGAGAGAGAGATTAGAACAAACACTGAGGATTCACCACTGACTACGATAACACACTCTGCCATGAATGATCAGGAGTATCACACACACTCTCACACACACACACACACACACACACACACACACACACACACACACACACACACACACTCTCTCTTCTGTTGGACTCAGGACTGGTTCATCAGATCTTCGTCAGTGATTTGATCAGAACTAATGAGTTTCAGGAGTTCCTCCTGTCGTTAGCAGGAGTCTATCTTCTGCTTACACACACACATACACACACACTGACTACACACACACTGTCCTGCTGTCAGTGAACCAGAACACACTCTGATCCACACTTAGTGTGTGTGTGTGTGTTTATGAGTGTGTTTTTGTTTGTTTATGAGTGTGTGTACAGGTAAACAGAATCTCACACACTGTTAAAAATGCAGGCTTCCACACAATTCATTCATCTTGACCCAACACAAGTCGATTGAGTTAACTCAACACATTTAACAAATGCGTGTGGATTGAACATAAGAAATTTAAGTTCTCACAAATGAAACCTCAAGAATTGTGTTGTTTCAGCTCATTTTAAATAAGTAGTTTAAAAGAGCAAATATATATGCAGCAGGTGTGTGTGTGTGTGTGTGTGTGTGTGTGTGTGTGTGTGTGTGTGTGTGTGTGTGTGGTTCCAGCTGTCTGCTAGGTTTATTTTAATGTGTTTCTGTCAATTTGCTGAACTGAAGTGTTTATCTCCGTTTATCCTCCTCACCCCGGCTCTACAGTCATGCTTTAATTTGATTTCCGCTGTTTTCAGCTCTTATAATAACACTAAGAACACAAAGCGCGGTAAATACACATAAACAGCGAGAGGCCTGAGATCCCCGGGCTTGAGTTGAAACGGCACCGGCCCCCGGCAGCGCAGATCCGGCCACACTCAGCAGCGGCGCCGCGCCCGAGCGGGAAACCACAGACCGAGGCTGAGGAAAAGTTCAGCGCTACGCGACCCGCGCTTTAAATTATTGATGGAAACGCGAGCCGACCTCAAATCAAAACACTTTATTCGTGTTATTACCATGTTCTTACCGCGTTATAAGCCTCCATAAACAACACAGTGATCAATCAGGAATAAAGATGAAGATTAATAAAGTTCATCATGAGCTGATCTTCATCAATAAGGAGACAAGCCGCCATCCTCATCCTCACAGCTGTACATCAGAAACTGCATCAACACGAGCCTGTAGATCTGACAAACGCGGCAGTAATGTCGATTAAACACAGTAAACAATGAAAACACACTCACGGGCATCAGCAGCAGCGCACGGACACTCTCTCTCTCTCTCTGTGTGTGTGTGTGTGTGTGTGAGCACTTCTGTGTGTATGTGAGTGTGTGTACTTGTGTGTGTATCATACCCACTGAAAGCAGAAACTCAGCGTGACTAAGCATTAGCTGGCCTGTGTGTGTGTGTGTGTGTGTGTGTGTGTGTGTGTGTGTGTGAGATGCAGTACTGATGTTGGACACGAGGTGTCGCTACAGGTCAATAGAGCGGGCTGCTGCTGGGCTGTGTTTGAGCTGTTCTGCTGTTGGCTGTTCTGGGATCTGTGGTTCAGCTGACTGAACAGCTTCTGTTCTGTTCTGCTCCAGTGTGATCATCAGAGGAGGAGCTGAGCTGAGCTGAAGCTGCACACATCTCATGCCTATACTGGATCCAAAACACGATCAGTAAAACAGTCCGGCTCTCAGTGAGCAGAGCGGAGCGACAGATGGAGGACTACATGCAGAGTTATGTGTGTGTGTGTGTGTGTTCAGCAATTAACATTTTACACTGAAGGACACACACACACACACACACACACACACACACACACACACACACACACACACACACACACACACACACTGCCTCTCCAGTCTGACTTTCATTAATGAGTAAATAAACATTAAAATCTTTGTAGAAGAGCCCAATCTGTGAACAGCTGACCTCTGACCTCTGACGTGCCCGTCTACTGGAGCAGCGACTCACACTCTACTGCACTTCAGTCTGACACTCACGGCAGAGCAACACACACACACACACACACACTGGTCAGGAGAAGCTGAGAGACACACACACACTCTTCACATCTCTATTTTAATATTTCATGAGAAGTTCCAGTTTTGACAGATGACTAAGCTTGTGTGTGTGTGTGTGTGTGTGTGTGTGTGTGTGTGTGGGTAAGAAAGAGAGAGTGTGAGCGATTGAGAGATGCCCGTGGTTTAGGTGTGACGGCTCTGAGGTTGGTTTGAGTGTGTGTGTTTGTTTACGGTAAACAGTGTAAAGGTGAGCTCTGTGGTGTTTCCATGTTTGTTTGTGTGTGTGTGTGCTTGTGTGTGTGTGTGTGTGTGCATGTGTGCAACAGCAGCCCCTCTGCAGACGCACAGCTGAATTTGCAGTCACCCACATGTGTTTGTTGGTTTCCGACACGCACACACACACACACACACACACACACACACACACACACACACACACACACACACACCACACACACACACTTGTGTTCTGAGCTTTTAGTTTTTGTTTCTTCTGATGATCACCATCCCAGAAATATTTGGAGTAATTTTGGCAGCTCGTCTCCTCTCTCCTCAACCCTCACACACACACACACACACACCTTCACACTCCTCCATTCTGCCGGCTCTATCAGCCTTTTTCCTCACAGAGACCCAAAATAATGTCCCCATGAGATCATTTACTGGTATTGCTATACTTGTGGGGACATTTGGTCCTCATAAGTGATGAACACCAGATAAACTGACCCACACATATGAAGCAGCTGTAGGTTATATTCTGTCTGGGTTATTCATACATGATTTATTATACAATAAAATAGAACATCATTTATTTACACGTTAAAGCAGTAAAGCGTCCCCACAGCGCTGACACACGAGCGGCCGCAGACCCCACAGACCCCGCAGACCCCGCAGACCCCGCAGTCTGCTCAGTCCATCACGAGCTCATCCAGCTGCGCTGACCCTCAGTTCTGCTGCTGAGCGCTGTGGAGCCAGAGCAGAGACAGCACCACAGCCAGGACATCTGCTCTCTCTGAAGCTCATCACACTCAGTCTGAAACACACATCTGCTGATAGAGATCTGCAGGTGTGTGTGTGTGTGTGAGTGTGTGTGTGTGTGTGTGTGTGTGTGTGTGTTGACCTCCTTTGAGGCTTCTGAAAGGGTTTTTTGCCCCCGTGTGAGTCTGGTGTCCAGAACACTGCTCAGTTCCTGCCGTGTGACGTGATGTGTGTGTGTGTGTGCGCATGTGTGTGTGTGTGTGTCTCAGAGTCAGGTGATGACGGACAGCCGCAGTTTGGGGTAGATGGACTTGTGTATGGACGTGGCGTTGGCGGATGAGAGTGTGTTCTGCAGGCCGTGGCGGTGTGTGTCCGGTGTGCAGCGGCAGCACAGCAGCTTCAGCACGGCGCTGCGCACGTCTCTGCTGCTCAGCGTGTAGATCACGGGGTTCAGCAGCGAGTTCAGCATGGCCACGCCCAGGAAGTAGTCGGCCTTGAAGAGGATTGGACAGGCTCTGGCGGGGCAGGAGACATCCAGCAGCAGCAGCGCGAACAGCGGCGTCCAGCACAGGATGAAGGCGCCCAGCACCAGCGCCACCGTCCGCAGCAGCGCCATGTGTTTGCGGGACCGCTGCGTGTGTGTGTGTGCGTGCGTGTGCGCCCTGACCAACAGGAAGATGCGTGTGTACAGCAGCACGATGGCCAGCAGGACGCCGCTGAGCACCGACACGCAGAACAGCACGTAGCTCTTGGCGAACAGCGGCAGGACGGTGGAGCACCAGCGCAGCTCCTGCAGGCAGTTCCAGCCCAGCACCGGCAGCGCCCCCAGCAGCACCGCCAGCGCCCAGCTCAGCCCGATCAGCGCCCGCATGCGGCGGCGGCGCCTGGAGCTCTGCTGCGGCCTGGAGCTCCGCATGGTGCAGGCGCGCTCCACTGCGATGGCCAGCAGACACAGCACCGATGCCGCCAGCGTCACCAACACACCGGCCTCCCGCAGGAACCACAGCGCCGGCGTCAGGCGGAGAGTGTTCCGGCCCGACAGCACCACGTTCAGCATGTAGGCCACGCCAGCCAGCAGGTCCGATAGCGCCAGGTTGCCCAGCAGGTAGAACATGGGCATGTGGAACCTCCTGTTCCTGCGGAGGGCCAGCAGGACCGTCAGGTTCTCAGCGATGATCAGTAGGCAGACGCACAGCAGCGCCACAGCCTCGGGCTGCAGGCCATCTCGGTACCGGCCACGCTCCAGCTTCCCGGTGTAGTTGTAGTGGCGCTGCAGAACCGCATTGCTCTGGTAGGAGCTGCAGAGAGGAGAACTGGAGCTGTTGGAGGAGCCGGACGCATCCATCTGCAGATCTCACACACACACACACACACACACACACACACACACAGATGCTGCAGAACACTGCTCTGCCTGGGGGGGGGGCGCTGGAGAGCACTCAGCCCATCCCTGATGAAGACCTGCAGAACATGAAGGAAACAGCAGCAGTCAGCACTTCATCTCAGCTAATATTACTGCAGAAACACCTCAGCATCATCGCCCCCGCCCTGTGCTGTGTTCCTGTCATTTCTCTGACCAGTGCTTCAGCAATCTACACTGGCGGATTCACCGGCCGTGTGTTAAAGGAGGATCAGAAAAGACTGATGTGTGGGACTGTGTCAGAGCTGGACAGAACTTTACAGCGCACACTTCATGATCAGTTTCTTCCTCCATTTCACAAGTGTCAGTAAGTGCGATTAAACTGGCCGCCTGCTCGTTTTCGTGTGCTGTATCTGGTTAACTCTTAAATCCTCATATCGCATGTAAAGCCCTGTTGTAAACGCGGCGCATTTACTAAATACCAGTAATACTTAAATAAGTGTTTAGTGTACTACAATAAAGTACACTACAGAGAAAACATCCAGAAGAGTTTTATTAGTGTTTTTCAAAAGTGTGCTTTAAATGCTTTAAACATGAGTTGATTTTCGTACACTGTTTACATACTAATCCTAAGATTAAAATAAGTTAATATATAAAACATCTATCAGTGATGTATTGTAGTAGAAGAACATTTTCCCAAAATGTCTCTACATTTCACATATGTGCTGTAATGTTGCATCTTAATTATATTTGTGTGTTCTCAGTTTTTGCTGAGTTTTTGTTCCTCCATAAGGTATATTTGGACTTGTGGTTTATTGCACATCAATATTAAAGTGTTTTGATGAAGCACAGATGCTGTTTTCTTCGTACACACAGAATCCCTTCAAAATATATCCTTTAAATGTTTATTATGTTAAAAGCACATTTTAGATCAGCTTCATTTATTCTCATAATAGCACAGTTGAGTACGCTCAGATGTACTTAAGTTTATCTTAAAGTCTACTTAATACTCATTTTTAGTACATTAAATGCAAAATTAGTTTGGGAAAATCGAGCACTTTTAATACAGTATAGCACACTTTTACAATTTGTACATTCTTCTAATATATTACTATTATACTTTAAATTAGTCATAAATATATTAAATGTTTAAAAGTAGGGTTCAAGTGTATTTCTAGTTGTAACTAAACATATTTTTTAAAATACAGATATAGTATGTTAAAAGCACATTTTAGTTCAGTTTCAGGGTGTCTCAAAATAGCACAGTTGAGTGCACTTAACATATACTTAATACTATCTTTTAGTACATTAAGTACAACATTAGTGTGCGAAAGTAGAGCACTTTTAGTACATTACTGTAGAGTGTACTAAGTATACTTAAATAAAGTGATGGTGAAGGGGAGAGCAGTATGCTGCTGTTTACTGCACTGCTGCACTGGCTTCACACACACACACACACACACACTCTGACTACTTCAACACTGTTGATGAGCCCTGGTGGGCATTTCTCTCTGTCGGCCAATCACAGCAGACTGGGTCATCGGTCCAATCAGCTCAGATTAGCATCATGCTAAGGAGGGTTTTGGGAACAAATGAATGGCTGAATGAATGATGTGGGAGTCATTAGGATAATGAGGTGAAAATAAACGCAGATTATCAGACAGTGACAGTGTTGTTGACCTGATGCAGATCAGCCTGCTGCTGGAGACCCCCAAACCCAGCATACGAGCCTTTACAATGCAGAATAGCGGCTCTTTAAAATAAACTCTGAGCTGTGTTGTGGAGCTCCGTGTGCTCAGGCTGACTGATCTGCTCCAGCTGCAGCTGATAGGTTGCTGTCTCCGCCTCCGCAGCCAATGAGCTCGCTCCTACAGTATAAGCGCTCAGAGCGGTTGTATGCGAGCGTTATGCAGAGACCCGAGACCTCCTCCACCCCAGCTCCACCTGTGTGTGAATCTGCTGCAGGGCGTACATGTGTGTTACACTCGCAGCAGCTGTGTGTTGTATGCTCACTGTGTGTGTGTGTGTGTGTGTTGAAGAGTGTACAGGTGTGTTTCTGAGGTGTGTTCAGTGTGTTGTTCTGCAGTGACGCGTCCTCTGTTGTGTTCTGACGGAGCGCTGTGTGCGTCTGCAGCTGTGAGATCTCATCATGTCCGCTGCTGCAGTGTGAGCATCACACAAGTGCGCGGTCTCCTCTAAAGCGCAGTGTGTTTACCCTCCTGTTTTCACGCAGCTCCACATCCACCATCACACCTGCCGGTAATATTCCTCCGCTTCCTCTCTGAGCACGAGTGCCTCTGCTTCATCACCTGACTCATGATTTTCACTAAGGACACAGTGGCTCAGCACCCTATTCATCAGGGGCCGCCACAGCAGAATGGACCACCAACTATTCCAGCATATGTTTTACACAGCAGATGCCCTTCCAGCTGCAACCCAGTACTGGGAAACACCCATACACTCTTATTCACACACACACACACACACACACACACACTCATACACACTACGGCCAGTGTAGTTGATCGGTTCCCCTATAGCGCATGTGTTTGGACTGTGGGGGAAACCGGAGCACCCGGAGGAAACCCACACCAACACGGGGAGAACATGCAAACTCCACACAGAAACACCAACTGACCCAGCCGAGACTCAAACCAGAGACTGCTGTGAGGCCACCGTGCTGCCCACTGAGCCCTGTGCTGGCCTAGTTTACGCTCATGTATTGATTATTGGATTATTGTAGAGAAAACAGTCGGACAGCTCACACTTCCTCTGAGACAGAGATGATGATGGATTTGACAGATCGACCCCAGTCAGTAAAGCGCAGCTGATCCAGAGTCAGTCAGAGTTCTGCTCAGTGTCATCATGGTTCTGCTGTTTAGATAATGTGAATCGCTGGATGATGAATGAGTTAAATAACGGATCTCCCTCTCCCTCGAGCGGTTCTGAGAGAATAAAGCTGAAGGCAGAGATCCACGAGAACCCTGATCAGGTCGAGTCCGGCTGAGCGGAGTAACAGTGAACATCAGCACTATACACTCCTGCAGCAGCCAGAGGAAGAGCTCAGCGTCAGGAGCTTTCTCCTCCACATGCTGAAGGTCTGTGTTCTGTGTGTTCTGTGTGTTCTGTGTGCTCTGTGTTCTGTGTGTTCTGTGTGTTCTGTGTGTTCTGTGTGTTCTGTGTGTTCTGTGTGTTCTGTGTGTTCTGTGTGTTCTGTGTGTTCTGCTCTGGTGTTTCCCTCAGTGCTGTATCATTAGCCGTATGTCAGATGATCAGAATAGAGTTTCCTACAGCTCCTCTGCTCACAGCAGATTTAATAATGACTGAAACACACACACACACACACACACACACACACACACACACAACACTAGAGAAGTCTGAGGCTCTTACCGTCTGGAGATC